TTTTTTTTTTTTTATTATTCCGGTTGGCTTCTTTTCCAATCAGAAAAATTTTTTTCCCTTTTCCTTTTTTGGTTTGGTTTTTTTTCTTTCAAACCGAATTTTTTTTCCCAAATACATTATTTGATTTATTTCTCCATTTAGGGTTTGGATCTGATTCCTTTTTTTCCAATTCTTATTATTAATAACATTATTTTTTTGTATTAAGCTCAATGATAATTACTTATTTATTTAACAATAGATCGTTATAATTAGAATTTTTTTTTTCATATTAAAATTAGTGAGATATTTTTTTTTTCTAGGATGTATTTTTTTAATGCCACAATGCAATTTTTTAAGATAAAAAAAAAAAGATTTTTTTTTGTAACAATATAACAATAAACAACTTATATAAAATTGTTTTTGTAATGAATTTGTAAATTTAACAGTACTGCAACATTTGTTTCATATGATAAATAAAATTTGCATTTTATATTAATATTTCATATACTGTATAACACTTGCACACAATTTCATTGTTATTTTATAATCATGTAAATTGTGTAATTTATTACATTTATTTCCTACTAATCTCATCATAATAATAGTGAAAAACTAGACTTATTCACACTGCATGGCAAATAAAATATAAGTGTGTTATTATTACTTTCTTATTTGATGGGCAGTATCATCCCCGGCGCATTCGGCGCAATGCGACGGGTTACGCCTAGAATATTATAATATATTTTTAGCAAAATGTAATAATTTTATAAATTGTTCCTATTTCTCAATGTTTGTTGTCTCACTCACTTTCTAAAATACAATTTGATACGTTCATTCTCTTGATAATCAATATACAATGTATAAATTTTTAAATAACCCGCACCAATGCTTGAGCCTTGAGTTTCTTCTTTTGCAGTTATTCTTAGTTGTCTTTTTATTGAATGAGAATGAATATTGATTATTAATGAGAAAACAAGTCGACATGCATTATGGAGTGAAAAGATTATTATTATTATTAAATTTTATTTTTAATTTTAAATTTTCAACAAAGAATCGTCAAAAAAAAAGAAAATGCTTATAATTAGTTTTTTTTTTAATTTTTTCTGTTATACCAATATTCTATAAAGCAATAACAATCATAATATTTACGATAGCTTTTTTCATATTTAGACCCTGTATAAATAATTTGAATTGTGTAACATTGAAAAGTGCGATATTCTTGCGTCCGATCTATTTCATGTATCATAATTAAGAAATTTGATTGACTTTCCTGACTACGATAACCGATCTTTAAACTAATAAATTAAAATTTTAACTGGATTTTTTTTCATTCTGATGGATTAATACTAACAAAAAAAGTATAATTTTTCTTATTAATTTCATTTTATTTGCGGTCATTTCCGCTCCCAGTTTAGTTAGTTACCATGACTAACCATTTCTATAATAATAATTTTTTTTATTTTTCGGTTTTTACTTTTTACCGTAAAGACTGAAACTACTTTTTTAGTCTTTTTTTTATTAATTTTTTTTTATCCCTCTTTTTATTATTATTGTTTCTTTCGGTTAACTTAACTAAAATTTTTTTATTCTTTTTTTTTTTTCGTTTTATTTTTCACTGGATTTTTTTTAGAGAATTTTTTTTTAATCGGAAGTCTTAACCGTAGAAATCTGAATGGTTTAATAACGTGAGAGAAATAAAATTTGTAAAAAAAAAAATTAAGAGAAACTATCATACAATTTTTAAATTTCACGTATCTTGAGCCTGATGGGTTGTTACTGTAAATAATTTTTGTTATCCACCTGACATAAAATCATTTAGCTCAACAAAATTAGCCCATAATAAGTACATTCTGCAATATGGATTGATGGTAATGCAAAATATATTAAACAAAATGATGGAAGTTGGAAAAAAAAAGAACCTGAACCCATAAAAGTAGTTTTTAAAAAATTAAATGAATCTCAAAATATTTCAGCTATATATTTAAATGAGATATATTTACACTTCTTTACTGTTAAGTGATTCTTAAATATAAAAATTTATTGTTACAACTTATTGGCTTTTAAATCTTTATAGATTAAAATACTTTGGAATTTTTACTCAGATCAAAATAACAATTCTTATTTAAAATTTCATGGAATAACTAAAGACAGACAAACTAAAGAATTTATGATGATTATACGATTAGCAGATCAAGGAAATTTGAGAAGTGTTCTTTCGAGTAATTTTAACAACCTGTTATGGAGAGATAAATTAGTATTCCTATTGAAATACAAAATTCATAATAACATGATAATTTTGCAATTCCCATTCATTATGTATTTATGTATCGTTCAGTCCACTACTAAATGTCAATTGTTGTCATATTGAACTATTTTTTTATTTGTAGATAGAATCACAAGATTAAATATTTTTAATCTAGTTGATATAGATTCATTGGTAATTAATTCAGTTAATTCAGTTGAAATAGCCGTACATTTGAAGAAAATAAATTGCATAATTTTATTTAAGATGTATTAAAAATTATTAAAATATGGTCTTGTATACTATAATTCAATTAATCTTAGTATACTGGATTGTTGGTAACACAGCAAATCACGTCTCAGAATGTGACGTTAGTCTTTTTTTTTAAAGCTCTTTGAATTTAGAACGTTATCTGTTACTATTTTTCAATAATTTTACCGTATGTTTAAAGCTTAGAATAAAACTCTTTACTTGGGAGGCTGAACAATTGAATACATACCTTTAATTATTGTCACGATAAAATTAACGATAATATGTGCACAAAAGATCAAATATTTTAGGATTTACTACTAACGTTACAATGAAACATTTGTTTGATATACAGTTATTTTTTTTAAAAAAAAAATTATTATTGAATTTCAAATACAAGTAAGCAATCCCACATGATGTGGCAAAATATTTCGAGTAATTCTCACGCAAAGTATACAGGTTTAATTAAAAGACCTTTTCATTATAAAGAATTTATTTATCATTCCATATAATATCCGTTGAATTATCATCATCCCAAAAACCTCTATAATCTACTCCTTTCATATTGTATTTATTGAACTCCAATTACTTGTATGACCATATAGATGCAAACTTTTTTTACCTTTCCCATTATTAAAAAAATTTTTCAAGGATTTTATAAAAAAATATCCATAATCAATATGAACTTTGTATAAACTATTTGGTGCCCGATTTTAACAACAAATCTAAAAATTTACAACTTTTTAATTTGTCATCTCCTTTTATTACAATTACATCTATTGCTTCCAAGTGTTGACATTTGGTGAAAAAAAATTTCCAATTCATCCAAGTTCTGATTATTTAAAATATTGAAGCATATTTTATGTATGGACAATTTTTATAGATTGCCTGAACATATTCTCTAGAATGAGTGATTTTGAGGGTTATAATTTTAACTTTCCAAAGATTTCCTACTGTATTTTGGGTAATCTTTATTGCTATATGAATTGACATTTATTCAAGTTCAAGTATTTGAAGTTTAGGATATATCGCAGCTGTTAAATTCTTCTCAATCATTTCACTTTCTACATACATACATTCTTTTATAAAGTTTGTAAATTTACAAACTTTGGGAATAAAAGATATGAAAAAGTTTTTTGCATTGATAAATTTAGATAAATTATTGAATCTGCATGTTCTTCCAAAGCCTTAATGATATCATCTTTTTCACGTTCTTCATTTGTAATCTCTTCTACCCTATAAAAAAAGAAAATTCGGAATTTGTCCTGAAAAGTATGGAAAATGTCCGGAAATTTTCCGTGCGTCCGGAAAACATTCGGAAACGGTCATGTTTTGGAACATTTTCCGGACGCTCGATTCTGGACAAATTCCGGACAAATTCTGGAGTGTCAAGAAAATGTCTGGAATTTGTGCGTCCGGAAAATGTTCCAAAACGTGACCGTTTCCGAATGTTTTCCGGACGCACGGAAAATTTCCGGACATTTTCCATACTTTTCAGGACAAATTCCGAATTTTCTTTTTTTATAGGGCTACCTTTATATTTAATTCGTTTTTGCGTTATAATTAGTTTAGCAAGTCCAATGTTGTCATATTTAAATTCCATATAAATCTTTTCTATTAATTTACATATATGTGCTATTCCATAAAATAATGATGTTTCTAAACATGATTTACAATCAACTTCATTCAGATTTAATAAACAAATCTCCGCTCCAGGGAATTGATATATTGGATGTCTTACTTCCCCTAAATTCAAGTATCTTATATTTGAACATTCATTAACAAAAAGTTTATAAATTTCTAATAAAACTATTTGAAAGATACTTAAAAAAACCTCCATAAATTTCTTGATTTAATAAAAAAATTAACGCAAATATGTTTACAAAATCTAACATAATTAAATGAAAGTTTTTATTATTGTGTTCATCCTTTAAGATGATACTGATATTATGAAAGATTAAAAGTTGGTTTTATTTTCTGATAAATATGTTAGAATAATAATTAATAATTTACTAATTAATGATCATTATTGATTTCAAAATAATTTAATGGACATTTCCATAAAGTTGGGATGACGAGTTCATACCATTGTTTATTAACCAATAAACAAGAAAGTAAATAACTTCCATCATTATTTAATTTCTGAAAAATATAATGAAGTATATCGCTATATAACTTTGCCATTTCATTTATTTTGTATTTTTATTTTCAAGAAAGGAGAATAATATACTGAGAAAAGTTAGGAATTTAAAGCGCGTATTTATTATGTTGATGTCGAGCGAGTCGCGTGATTCATGTTAGATGACAATGTGACAATGATTAGTTATTCAGACGCGTGATTTTGTATAAGCCACTTAAGCCATAAATTAAGCTATTACCAAAATACCAAAAACTTCAAAAACTCGGATATGTAAAATTACGTTATTACATTATCCGTTTTATATATTCAAATGCTCTAACAATAACCTTTAACATTATTACATTTTTTATTCTCATGTATTATTTTATGAAAAAATACAATAAAGAATTTTTGCTTTCAAACTTTTTAACATTTTTTTAACACTTAATTTTTCTGCAATATCAATCATGAAAAATATCATTATACAAATAGAAAAAAATGTTTACTAAATAACATGCAAATTTCTTGCTTAAAAGTCTTTCCCGTACTTATTTTCCCATTGAAAGCAATAACTATACTCTGTGTTTTTAATTTCATATTCACTTTATTTATGACTTACAAATAAATCACTTTAAGTTATAAAGCCATGTTTTTGTATAATACGCAAGGATAAAGCCGAATGATATGTAGATTTTCTCTCGCAATTCTTGCCGTCAGTAATATTATGTCCAAACTTAAACAAAAATTTTATGAAGCGAAATGCTACCAAAGGTATTGAAAATGTGTGTTCCAGAATTTTTTTTATGGCTGTGGTATCGCAAATAAATTGTAATAATTTGTAATAAGATTAGAGGACGTTCAATAACTCTAAAAGCATTGCTTATTAATATTTATTTATTTATTTATTTTTTTTGAAAAAATAAATTTTATTGAATACTCAAATCTAAAATTTAGCTACTACCATCGAAATGTTAAATTTTTCTTATTATAATAGAACAACATTAAATAATTTGAATAATTTAAATGGTATACTAATTCATTAAATCAATATAGTACGGCATTTATACAAATAATTTGAATAAATTTATTAAATTATTTAAATTACAAACTAAGAATTTTGTAAAACATTTACTACTCTAGTCTTAGTGTTTAAATAATCCAAGATAAATAAGTGATGATAATTTAAAATTAAAAAAAAAATATTGTTGATTTGATTTATCAAAGGACAATTTAAAATCCATCTAAAGATAAAAATAGATTAATTATAAATTAATTATTCACATTATAAAGAAACTTATCATTTCTACTTTATTTTAAGAGCTTACCATCAGGAATTTCCAGTTCATCTTGTTCTTTTGAATGAAAGTTTGGATTATTATATACTTCTTCATCATCTATAAGAAATAGTAGTAAATAATTAAATTAAAAAATAATATAAAATTAAATTAAAAATTCGCATACCATCAATATCACCAATATTTTGTCTTTTCATTTTTTGTTGAATTATTTCTTTTTCATCATCTAAATTTTTAAATTAAAACTACATTAAATAAATATATTGACAAAATAATTTTTATTTTTTTTGCTTACCATCAATATCAATATCTTTCCTTTTCATTTGTTGTTGAATTATTTCTTTTTTGTCATATTATTTTAAAATAAAAGTCACGTTATTTAATAAATGAAACTGATACAATGAATATTCTTTATTTCACTTATTTACTTACTATTGGAATTTATTTGCAACTTTATAAATTCTTTGGGTAATTTTTCACTATCACCTAAAATTAAGAATGTAAAAATAGATTTTAATATTTAACTTATTGTTTCAAATAAGTCACTTTAATTATACTTATTAATTTCTTACTATACTGCTTATTTGATCCATTAAAATCGTTAACTAAAAACAAATATAATTCAATTATAAACCTATGTCATTATAAAATAATGGTAATGTTAATGAATACAGTACTTACTATTGTTAGGAATGTTAAAATCATACAATTTACTATGAAACACTATTAGCAGTAAAATAAAGTAATTAAAATTAAATTATTATAGTAACCAAAAATGATAGAAATCATTAATTATACAGTTATACCTTCTTGTTCTTCTATTATGATAAAAAGATAACATTAATAATGTATTTTAAAATAAATATATTCATTAATAAAATATTCTACACTTATACCTTCTGTTGCATTTCTTGGTTCAGGTAGATTTCCAAAGTTGTGAATTTTACTTGTAAATAAACTGCTACTTGTATAATTTTCTTCTACTTTATTCATTTCTAAATTATCCATTTCTGATTTGAATAATTCATCTGACATATTTTGATAATATAAATTAATTTTTTCCACTTTTTTCACAAGTGCATAAGCATCAGGTCTTTTTAATGGATCAGCATCCCAACATTCTTTCATTAAATTTTTATATTCTAATGGAGTTCCTGGNCTGGCACAATTTTTGGCCTTATACCGTTAATAATATTCATTACAATATCATTTTCATGTTCATAATTTATAAATGGTGTTTGTCCAGATGAAATTTCCCACATAAGAATTGCAATACTATAAATATCAGATGCAAAAGTATATTCTCTTCCAACAATAACTTCAGGTGCTATATAAGGAAGATTTCCATATATACTTGTTGAAGATTTATCAGCAGGTCCACAAAATCCAAGATCACTAACACGCCAAGTGTTATTAAATACAGAATATAATATATTTCCAGAATGTAAATCTCTATGCACTGCTTTCTCTTTATGAATCCAATAAAGTGCAAGAGTTATTTCATAAATAATTTTCATTCTATCTTTCCATGTAAGTTGATTATGATTTTGTTGTAAATATTTTCTTAAATCTATATCCATTTTCATCATTACAAGCATATAATTTCCATTTGATGGATTTTGTGTTAAACCATAACATTGAACAACCTCCGCCTTTTTATTACTTATAGTTAAATGCGATTTAGCCTAAAAGACAATAATTTGTAAAAATACTAGTGCTAATACAAAAATTACAACAATTTTATAAAATATAAATACAATAATACAAACCTCTTCAAACCAACTTTGATTTGCACTTTCAACATTTTCTAATTTTTTAAGCACTATACCACGATTTCCATGTCTCGTTAATTGTTTTATTTCAGAATCCCATTCATAATATCGTCCGTCAATCCAACGTGCTGTATAAATTTCAGAAAATCCACCTTTTGTTAAATATTTAATATTTTCTAAATTACTATATGGGATCCATTCAACTATTACATTTGGTCTAATTGTTTCCAATTGACATTTCTGTATTAAATTATCAATATCATCATTTCCAGATGTCCAATTTGAAAAATCTTCTTTTAAATAATTTCGAACACAATATTCACAATATAATGTGGCTAAACATTCTTGGTTACAATTTTCACAGATTCTTTTTGTTCCTGAATTACGATTAACTTTATCTCGATCATAATTTTTAGTTAACCATCTTATTGCAAAAGTTTTTTCATCATTTGTAAGAATTTTATCAGCAAGGACTGTTTGTTTTTTAAATTCAAAACGTTTGTGTATATCATTGTAAATACTATTATCTGTTAATGATGTTGCTCTACTAGTTGTTGCATAAATTAATTCATATCGAAGGGTGGACATAATGTAATCAATAAGAAAGAAAGAATGAATGAATTATTTTAAGTTCATTCACTTGATAAATTAGTAAAATGCAAATTGTTGATCAAATTTCATGTCCCACATAAATTTTGTGACCTTGAGGCATAATATTTTACGCCTCATAACCAAAAAAAGAAAAATATTACTAACCATTTACCATTTACATATTTAGTATGATCAATAATTTTACTTTTTTTTTGTTAAACACAAATTATATTCGGCCGAAAAAAAATAAAAATAAAAATAAATTTGATTGTCACACTTAATAAATAAATAGTATCCTTTTATTAATATTCAAATAATTTGATAAACAATTGTTATTCAATGGACTATTAATTTGTAGTATCTTACTTAAAAAAATCAATATTTATTTTTAGTGTAATGGGTATGTCATGGGTCAGTCTACATAATCCAAATTATTTATATGGAGACTATTCTAAAGTCTAAACGTCAGACATATTTTTTTGTTAATATAGATGAAGTTTAAATTAAATTTACAAAAATAAAATAACAGATATGATAAAAAAAAAATACTAAATATATTAAAGAATGAAGTAATTATATTCCAATAATTTTACTTGGCTTTTTTATGTTGTATTATTTTCATTTCTGGTAAAAACTCTTTCAAGTTTATTAGAAAACGAACGTTTTTTTTTGTTATATTTATATGAAAATAAACGTCCAAACGTCATGGTGCTTTTATAAAAAAAATTCTTCCAATATTTTTGTGAAAGAGTTTTTTCTGTCTCAAAATATTTTACTTGCTAAACTATAAATTTTTTGAAAAATAACCATCGAACGTATCACGTGATTTTAATTATTGCTGGATCAGCTGATTTTATTAAAGTCGTCGTCAATCAAGACATTTTATTCTAAAAAAAAAAAAAAAAAAAAAAAAATTGATAATGATAATAATACATAAAGTATATTAAAAAAAAAATAATGATAATAATATTTAAGAAAATTTTTTAAAAAATTAATCTCTTTTTGATTTTTGATCCGAATAAGGAAAAATTATCCATATAATGAACGTAATTAATTTAAATGTAATCCTTAAAATCAATCCAATAATTCCAAGTATGATAAATAATATAGTTACATAAACATCATAATTATTTCCTCTTATAAATCCCATTCTTGTATCAGCAGGAATAAATTCCTTTAATTCTTGATCGGAACCTTTATTAAGATCATTACGAAGTAAAACGTATTCAATTAAATCCGCAGCTCTATATTTTCTTTTACTATTAATTTTTGCTAAATATTTCATTCTTTCTACATTTTTCTTTACATCCTCATCATTTAACAAAATATTCATCTTATTTATAATATCATTAACTTCTAAAGCAAATTTATCTAATGATAACGCTATACCAATTGATTTTAATTTATCGGCATTACCCATCTGATCACCACCAATAGGTAATACTAACATGGGAGTACCAGTAAAAAGGGATTCGTGAGTACTTCCTGCACCTCCATGACTAAAGAATAATTTCGTATTGGTATGATTGAGTACAGCAAATTGTGGAGCAAAACTTGTAATGTGTATATGAGGATGTTTGTTATTTAGAATTGAAGAAGTTTGAGCTTGTGAACCATCATTTAGGTTGAATGTAGGAGAGAAATCATCCTTTGATGTCTGAGATAATGCCCAAATTACACCATCAACCATATTATTATTAATGACTTCAATAAGGGATTGTAAAATTTTATTGTTATTCTCAACTGTTGTGAAAAAGCGACCTCCAAAGGCTACATACAAAACTCGTTCGTGTCCATTTATAAAATCGGAGAGTTCAGGCGTAAGTGGAGGGTATTCATTCGACATTATTGGCCCAATTTCCTATTAATTTGAAGTATAGAAGGAAATTTTATTATAAAATTGTAATATACCATATTTTTAACTCACTCTTCCTAACTCAGGCCCCATTATGAAAATTTGGCCCACGTTATAATGACATTATTTGTAATAAAAAAAAAATAATAATTACCTGAATGTTTGGTGGTAAAGATTGCGGTAACTTAAACGAAAAAAGTAAGTCAGAATTTAAAATAAATTTAATAAAAGAAAATTTTTTTGATTTTACTTTACCTCAAAACCAAAGAAAGTATCAATAAAAATTAGAGAAGATTGAGCTAATCTTTTCGAAGACACAAAAACGGGTTCGGCACCCAGTTGATTTCTTAAATCATTTAATTGATTTAATATAGGATACATTATACTAAGCATACGAAGAGGTTGTATTACCGTACACTTAAATCTTTCCATGAATGATTCATTCTCCAATGAAATATTACAGTTATATATTGGATCAGACTTATACGGTTTACTGTCCATTACTAAAAAAAAAAAAAAAAAGGTTAATTTTAATTTAATTTTTTATTTTTTATTTTTATATTTTTTTAAAAAAATATATATATATAATTACAATTAAGAAAAGACAATAATCCAACAGCAGGTTTCTTTAAAGTATGAGCGACATCTAAGCAAGCATCATTTATTATAGCATAGCAAATAAATAAGTCAATATTATTATCAATTGCAGCATCTTTAAATTTTTCGAATGTGCTCTCGTATAATTTTACGTTAAATTCAAGTGATTTTGACAATGCTGTAAAATCAAATTTTTTGTTTACAAGTTGTTTGAGATCTTTAATATCTTTAATATTGATCGTAGGCCCCAATGAAATTTGTTTAATAGTTGGATATTCTGACGATGGCGTATAATTTCCTCTTGTTAATAATATTACCTACGTATAAAGGACAAAATATAATGAGATAAAGGGACGGATTTTGAAGATCATATATTTTTTTAATACTCACATTATGACCTCTTTCACTTAATATAGCGGCAATATCTAACATTGGTTTAAGATGACTTCTCCCACCAGTATTAGAACCGACCAAAATATTTTTAGGAAAGTGATTTAAATCAAAATTTGTAGGAACATAATCTTGTTTCGCTGTAATAACATTGACATGAAAGATTATATTTAATAAGAATAATGATAATAAGAAAGTAAAATTTCTTTTATACATTTTGAATTAATTTAATTGATTTGATTGATACAATTACTCTGAAGTCTCTCTATTTATTATTTTATCAAGGTAAAATTATTGAACCGGATAAACCAATCACATAACAAAGGAAGATCAGATCTATATTAGGAAATTGAATTTATTTGTATATTCGTGTAACGGTATACGGTTTAGTAATTATTCCGAGGATCGATTGTTTCCCCGTTTCAATCGGGATTTAGATATACCTAAACCAACTAAAAAGCAGATGATTTTCACTACGCATGGTCAACCGTTATAACGAGAAGTTGTATATATAATGTTTAAAATGTTACTCTACATTATTTTTAAGTATAAATTTTGAATCATACATGAAAAATACATTATTACTGGATATCAGAACTAACTATGTGAAGCAGTATTCATGTTTCGTAATTTTTTTTTATTTTTTCTTTATTGTGAAATATCTACGAGATAATTGATGTAATTGATAGGATAAAATTTTTAAAAATATTAATTACAAGTCTTATTTAGATATCAAAATTCAAATAAATATTATATATTCGAAATTTGAAAATTAAAAATTAATAAGAAATTTATATTTATATTCTAATGAGATAAAAAAAAGAATTTGAAACAAAATCTCTGGTCAATTATTAAAATTGATAGTCTATAATGTTGACAAATCTCGACATCAAAGATCCGGATTAACCTAAATGCCGGTTGGAACAAAACTTGACAATCAAAATCCCGAAGCTTTTTTTTTTTAAAAAAAAAAAAAAAAAATTAAATTAAATTAAATTTTTCAATAAAGCATGTAATTTAAAAAATGTGGCGCAGTAACGGATCTTATTAAAATGAATTTTATTTTAATAAATTGGAAAACAATTGCATTAAAAATTAACTAATCTCAAAATCATCCGATAGGATTGACTGTCAAGACATTAGATTATCGGGACTCTGTGGATTTTCAGACGATCCCGATAAAAAATCTGTGACGATTTTCGCCATGACCTAACATAGCTAGTTTCATGTGATTTAATAAGGAAATCTAAGGGGGTTCCGATAATAAGGACAGTATTGCAGCGGAAGTGCTCAAATTATTATCAGCCAAGCTAATATAACTAAGCTATTAGAGGAAAATTTTTGATGGATCATGAATTATGATATCACAATTTTAAAGGTAATATAATAAGAGAAATAAATTTATATTTAAAAAATGATTAATGTTAACATGCAATACTGAAGTGTTGATCCTTAGTTCGTCATATAGTAAGGGAAAAAGACGTATCGAAAAAATCTTTCGGGACATAATTTCAAATACATGCAAATATGATGTATACGAAAAGAAATTTCCAGTACCACCTATCCATTTCCTTCGCAATTTTAATTAATGAAGAAATGAATAATTCTTATCAGTATCCAACACGAAGTAGTAAAGTCAAGGCAAGGTCGTCAACGTCAGGGTCAAAATGATCAACATCAAGTCATTTATTTAATACTGCCATACAGAATATCTCATGTATTTACCTGAAAATATCGGAGAAATTAAAAAGGAAAATTAAAAAGAAATTCTAAAAGAAGAAATTAACAATAAATATCAATGATGGTTTATTCGTAATTAGTTTATCAAAGGGTATTGAACCTTAAGTAAATAAATAAGTATAATGTTGATCCACTTTGGGTAACCCGGGTAAATTTTCTTAATTATGTAAGACACTCCAAGTTCTCTAAGAGTCCGGTGGCCTATAAAATCAAAAAAGTAACACTAGTACACTCCTTTAATGCAATTAAACAATCCACCCTTATGTACTTTCTGGGGTTCATCCATTATCAAATTTCACCTTTACTTTATTAAACCCCGCGCAATTTAATGAACCCATCTTTAAGATTGCCATTAAAAAAACCTTATTTTCTATTTTATTTAGAGAATGAAACCGATAACGTGACTGAAATTGAAAATTAAATCAGAACTTATTTTGAAGTGAATCTAAAAAAAAATTTTTTTTTTTTTTTACTTTTATTGAAGAATAATTGTTCTTTTTTTACTTTAGGTATCGACTTCCTCGGATGACTAATTGGATCAGTAAGTTTCTAAGAGAGGTATCAAACTAGGGTCGGTTCTGATTCTTTTAAGAAATTAAAATTTCGGGTTTAACTACACGAATGAAACTCAAAATTTTTTTAAAGAAACGTTATTAACTTCTCGTCGTTGTTTTTTGTAGGTCTTAAGCGAGTAATATGTTTCAGAGGTGTCAAATGTTCATATTTAGATAATAAACTTTGGAAATTAATATAATTTATATAAAATTATAAAGCTGCATGAAAGAATAAATAATATCATCAATATATATATATATATATGTAAAATTTTGAACTTTGTTGATTTTTTCTTTAAGCGTAGAACGGTCTTTCCACGGGAAGCACAATTTTTTTTTTGAAGTTTTTGTGTAAAACTTCGAAAATGTTGCAACTTTAATAAATTCCTATTTAATAGATGTTTCCAAAAATTTTATTATACACAGAAGTAATAAATATATCATAGTAATTACATTGTATTATTTTTTAAAAAAATGGTAAAATAAATTTTCTTGTCGCTCAAAATTCATATCTCATATCTGTAATAATATAGCGTCGCGCGGAAAAAATGGTTGCCGGCACGTGATTTCAGACATTGATTGTTGGGTAAAATTGAAAATTTTGTAGAATATGCAGATGATTTTGTTCACGTGGAATCTAAAAATAAAAATAAATAGAATATGCAGAGTCAGAAATCAATTAACAATATTGACTCTAGTAAAACTCACCAGAAACAAGTGGTAAATTGAAATACGGAGATGATGTCTTCGTGATGTTAATAAACCACAATCCATCATACAGTATCTTTCTTATTTGCGTTGGATATTACTAAATACTAAAAAGGAAATACGCAGTGCTGATCATTCCCTGCAATTACATCATACATCATTTACATCGTTATACGCATTCTTCTTAACTTAGCTGTACTTTCGCTATTTCTCTTTTATCTACATACCGTGTCCTTTAAAAATGCGTTTCTTATGACTTGTTATCTGTTATGATGTTCCGATAATGGACATCAATACGCAAGATCTTCACAATGAACTTAAAGTATCGGACTCAGAGGAACACGAAGGCAATATAAAAGGAATTATCTACGGTCGATTTTTACGTTTTATTTGCACTGCGACTGTTTGCATCAAGAAAAAGATCAAATTTATGCATTTTATCATCGATACGGGTTCACCAATAATGTATCCCTCCGAGGATACATTAACTGAATTTGGCTTATTTAATTCAACTCCCATTTATAAAAAAAATTGGCAAAATCTAAAGAAAGAAAAAAACCATCAAACCTATATTAAAAAATGGAACTTAAAAAAAAAAGAACACTTAGTAATAAAATGAATATGAATAAATGAAATGAAACAAACCCCTTTTGCAAACTGAATCTAAGAAATAATTAGCCTGTTCAATTTAGTTTTTCGGTTAGGGTTTGTTTATTCAATTTGTCTGATTTTTTTGTAGAATCGCTTCCATGTGGCATTTTCTCAAGCAAAAAATCGCGGATGATCTTTCCGCACGTGTCACTAAAACCGCCAATGATTTCTTCGCACATGATACAAAAATAAATGCTACGGAACTCTGTAGAATATATGCCGAATTTATAATAAACTTACCGAATAATTAATTCATGTGATGCGGGCTACGCCACGGAGACGCTGAAAATCATATCTACGAGACTTAATATCATCGAAGAAGCCTGCAAAATGATTTCACCACAATTGCCAGTCAGTCAGCTGAGCGTGGCTGGCCAATCAGAAACTTCATCAAACCAATCACATGCAAATTCATCTGGGTCCAATAACATTACGTTTTTTCTTTACCAAATTGCCGATTATGTCGTGCGATGTGAACACTTATCATGTAGCACAAGCTTGTGCGACAATGTTTTATATATATATATATCGTTATGCCGTTTCCATCAAAAGTTCAAAAAAAAAATTTCCTTTATGCAATAATATCATATGATATTTTAATCTAATTTTAAAGTCAAAATTGGATGAATAATGGATCTACAAGAAATTAAAATTCTTGTTGCTATAGATTTCGGAACGACTTATTCGAGTTTCGCCTATGTGTCTAAAGAAAATCCGGAAAATATCATAATAAACTCTAGTTGGTAAATTAAATATTTTTCTTTTTTTCTTTTTTTCTTTTTGAAAACTATGACACGAACGTTTTTAGTAAAATAAGTAATTAATTAAAAGGCCAGGACGTGAGGGTTGTTATAAAACTCCTACAGTACTTAAATATAATGAATCTTATACTCAAGTTATAAGTTGGGGTAACTCGGCGTTACCTGATTATATGGTTGATAATTCAGAAGAGCGTTCTCATCCAATTAAATTGTTTAAATTACATCTACTTAATTTAAGAAAAAAGGAACTACCTTGGATGCCTCCACAATTAAATTACAAGAAAGCAATCGAAGATTATTTAACTCAAATGCAGATATTGATTAAAAGTACACTAGAAAGAAAGTGGCCGGCAATTAGTTTTCCGCAGCAAGTTGGTTTGATTCTAACCATTCCTTCTGAATCGGTATGTCGTACATGATAGGGTATTAGTTATTATTTATTTATTTTACATAATTAATAAATTAAATTCATTAATATCAATTAAAGCCCCATTATATGAAAGCCATGCGCGAATGTGTATATAATGCTGGTTTCTTAACTACATTAAATTCTGCCAACCTCGAATTTATTACTGAACGTGTGTATAATAATTTATTATTTTAATGTCATCGAATTAGCGTTTAACTAACCTTCTCTTTGTCATCATAGAGGAAGCAGTTGTTTTACATTGTCTAAGTGTTGTTAAAGATCATAATCTTCATTCTGGAGGTAATATATATATATATATATTTTTTAATAATTATTTCTTATAGATTACTTATAAACTTCTTTAAAAATAAAGATTCTTTCCTAGTTGCGGATTGTGGTGATGACACAGTCGATATTATATTACGAAAATTTCCTCAAAACAACAAATTAGATGAGATTACTAAACGTGTAGGCAATCCATGTGGTAGCAAGTCTGTAGATAAGGAGTTTTTACACTTTATTGGACGTAAAGTTGGATTTGGAGCATTAGGAAAATTAAAAAAATATGAATATGGACAATTACAGCATTTGGTTCAACAATTTTTTTGTTCTCGGATTAAATTTAAATTTAACGAGGATCCTAAAAAGTTTAGGACATTAAAGCTTAAGTTACAACAATATTGTCCTAGTTTAATGCAATATGTTTCGGGAGGAAATAAAGAACAAATGGAAGAAGCAGGTTGGATTGTGAAACTCGACTTTGAATCAGTGAAAGTGATGTTTGATCCAGTTGTAGATAGAGTCATAAAATTGATTGATGATCAATTAAATGATGCTAAGAAACGATGCCGTGCAATATTTTTAGTAGGTGAATTTAGTGAATCACCTTATCTTTTGAGTAGAGTAAGAGAAGCCTTTATAGATCAAGTTCCGATTATTTCCGTGCCGGAATTTCCAACAGTAGCAGTTGTTAGAGGTGCTATAACATATGGATTAAACGTTAAACCTATTCACGACTTGTCAGATGAGGCTACTTCTGTTCATCGTATTTATGGTATGAGCGCGTTAAGAGAGTTTAATATTAGTGATGGTTGTAAATTTATTAACTAATGATTTTACTAAAATTCGTAAATCTATATATACAATATGAATTGATGCTAGATGATCTGAACAAATAAAGGCAATTTCATCACGAGTGCATCAGTATGGTAAGTTGTAAATTAAACAACTGAAGGTCGTAGAAGAGTTGTGGAAAATTGGAAAATTGCGAATTGAGATAATAAGGAGGATTATATTAAGTTGTATAATCAAATTAATTTCTTAGTAATTATATATTATGCCTAAACTGTATTTTTTTATTTTCATGTTATTTTTATTTTTATTCGCGCATATTTCATTCATTACACAAATGCAAAAAAAAATTTTTTTTTTTTCATAGTCTGATACACAATCAATATTTGTAAATTGATTAAATAGTTATTGTAGAATGTAGACCATATTCGTATTGACTGTATTACCTCCTTTTTTCTTTTTTTTTTTTGTACAGTAGGTTCCGGACCTTTTTTAGACGTCATTTCGGACTGGTAAGTTAAAAAAAAATTATATTTTTTAAATAGAAGGCGTATAGGCGTATACTAACCTTCCACTTTCTTCTTTTTGTAGGTTCCGGACTTTTTTTAGACGTCATTTGGACCGGTAAGTTATAAAAAAATTAATACCAGGAGTAATTTACATATCGGATTCAAATGTGTTTCACATTAAATTAACTAATTGATCTTCCAACAATAGAAATAATGTAAGAAAATTCGATTTATATGGAAGCCTCAAGTGCGTAGTATACTCAGTTGAATTTTATTACAAGAAAAACGGAATACTATTATTAAAGAAGTCATACAAGATATCATCGTCCTGATCTCAAACAAATTCTAAACTAATGAAAGCGAACTTAAATTTATTGCTTAAATAGTTTATATTCCATTCTATTTCTGTGCTATTCATCAAATATTCCATCATCACTTTTTGATTAAGCACATTTTAAATTATAAGTTACGTTGTACTTTAAACTTTTATTATTTTCTTCATAATTTACAGAATCGAATTGTGAAGAATTATTTATTTATTATTATTATTTTTAAAATAAAAAAAAAAACCTCCAGCTAAAAAGATATACTAAAAGAAATATATACATAAAATTAAGAAAAATTTAACTCATTAAAAATTATTAATTTGTTTTAAAATAATGAATGTATATCCTTTTTCGACACGCACTGAAATCCTTTGTTTATCAATCTGCAAAGAATTCATAAAACGAAAATACTTAATATTAATTTAAAATACTTTATAAAAACATAAAATATAATAACACTTACTTATCGGGTAGTGTTAGGGTAATGACAAATTTACCAAAAGGTAAATTATTCTTGATAAAAATACCTTCAATTGAAGGTATTTCTCCTTCAATTTTTATATCCTTTTGTAACTATATAATTTAAGTGAGCTTTTCTCCAGTCCTGAAGTTACCAGGATTATTTTAAATTTGTCTAAAAATACAATAAAATTAATTTTTTTTACAATCACAAGCAATGATAAAAACAATATTAATTATACTTACGTTTCTTCGATAATAGCATGATTTATATTTATTACATTTTTCGTTATTATTAATTACTTGATTATGTTCCTCCTAAACAAAATTTTTTTTTTAAATTTATAATTTTTATAAAAAATAAATTCTATGTGACAATTTCTTACTTGTAATTCCATAAATTTAAAAGTACGGATACTATTAGTGACTGTGATTTTAAAATTCTTGGTTTTTAACTTTGTTAAAAAATTCATCCGCATCATTTCTCGCATAATAATGAACAAACTCAGCACTAATTTTTAAAATATTACTTTGTAAGATTAATCTTATTTTTATTTAAAAAAGTTTGAAATTTACCTTTTATGTAGTCTTTTAACTACATGTAAACACTCAAAACCCTGATTTTTCATCCACTTCTCCATAGTTAGGTAACTGACTTCTATCAAGTTCCCATCAAACTTGATGTAAGTCTCAGGATTGTTACAACACTTGCGTTCTATAAACTTAGGCAAAAGATCTTTAAGGAAGAAAAAAAAAACTGTTAGTATGCAAAATTCATATAAAAAAAAGTAGTTGCGTAATTTGATATGATCTTCAGGTGATAATTAAGATAACTGATGGCTGAAAAAACCCAATACTGCAAAAGCTTCTTTAACTATTGTAAGAGAGGAACATAACTGATTCCTCATCCAGAATTGGTAGATCTTACAACAGGTGCAATTCAAAGAACTTTTTAACAGCATTAGGAATTTACAAAGAGAGTATCAAAAACCTCACGAAGGAGTATTAAAAGCCTCACGAAGGAGTACGAAAACCTCATGATGGAGTATCAAGAACTCATCAAGTTCATCTTAATATCACCATAAAGAGAATAACAACAGATGTGTACCTTCATTATTTCTTGACATTTTTATTAAAATTATTTTTTTATTTAAATTTTTATAGAAAAGAGGAGTATTTATCTTTGTAAACGGGATTTGTAATACGCAATTTATTTTATTTTATCATTACTGATTGATGCGATTGATGAACTAATTGAAATTCCGCAAGTAATCAGAGTCTGAAGTCATATAAATAATATAAATAACTAAGTAGATCCATTTGTTACGTAAGAATATATTATAACTACACAATTGTATCGCAGGGAATTCTTGATCGGATTAATAACATCGAGCAAATCGTTAATGTTCTCCGAAAAGGACACTATGAAGAGACACGGATAGTTAATTAAAATGAAGCACTCTTCATCCAATATATTATCTGAGGGAGTTCATGTGATATTTAGACTTGTTTTAAGCAGATTGTCGACAAACGTGGTTAGTCTAAGTTTATTATAATCAAAAGTTAGATAATTTATTTTGTTTGTATCAAATAAGTTTCATTTCATTACCTTTGAGTATTTATTTCTATATCAAAAATCTAAATCGTTTGAAATATATCCTATAAGATAGAAAGATAAACTTAATATAAAATCAAGGAAACTTTTTAAGTAATAGTACTGTACATACCAGATGATGATTTGATTAGACGAAGACCTTGAAGATTTAAAAATGGTTTATCTGAGTTTGTTAATAGAAGTTAGATAACAATCTTTTTTTCTGTATTAAATGTATTAAATAAGTTCATTTCAATACCTTTGAGTATTTCCGAAGTGTATACTGTAAAGAATAAAAATTTTATCTATTATTAAACTATTCAAATAAATAATACTATATCATTAATTAATTTTTAAAATATAAATACATACCTTGATTCGAAATAGTCGATGACGAATTAAAAGATGAAACTTGAGAAATATGAGATTTTATAGGCCTACTAGTATAAATAGCGCCAGGATGTTGTTTTTCATTGGTCCAAGTTGTTTCAATTGTATTAATCCTGTTCGTTGTTCCTCAGCGTAGCGTTACTAAATATTATTTCAGTTTCGTTACGCTTTTCAACCATCAATGATTTCTTTAATTTCTGCTATGGAAGGTCTCTTTAAGAGATCGGAATCCCAACGACTTTTCATTAAATTAGCGAAACACTCAGGAGTATCAATTGTGATTTCAGGTCTTTACCATCAATAATTTGAAAAAAGGTCCAGCATCATGTTCGACTAGAAAAAGGCTTACAACCTGTTGTTAATTCCCACATAATCATACCCAAGCTATATATGTCGGACTCTTTTGAAAATATAGCATCTTGAAATATTTCCGGTGCGACGTAAGGTATTACTATGTAAATTTCCGCCTTTCGCATATTCCATTATTAACATGTAGTCTTTTATTACAGGGTCTTGCGTAATACCATAATATTTAACAATAAAGACTGAATCATAGCATCGATGGAGCTAAAAGTTATAAATTCAATTTAGCGATAAAATGTACAATAATTAAATTAAATATTATATAATTAATTACCTCATTTAAAAAGTGTTTGCTAATATCCTACGATTTTTGAAATCTTTTTATGGCAACAGGAGTTTTATTTAACCAAATTGCTTTATAAATAACACCAAATCCCCCTTCTGCTATTGGTTTAATTATAAAAATTTACTTTTATTTGATGATTATAATATTTTGGATTCTTTTTCTTATCATAGTTTCTTATCATATTTTATTAACCATAATTCTTAATTTTATATCTTTTTCTTTTTCTTTTCGGGTGCGAGCCTTTAATTCCCGGAGGGAATTATCGGCTATTGGGTTCTTTATTTTTCCACCTGAGTAAAGTGGTCTTAGGACGACTTGGTTGTTCAGTTTCTTATAGTACTATTTTTCGATTCATGTATAATGTTTTTATGTAGTCATTACTGACACTGATTTTACTCCGAGATATAAAAATAAAATAAAATAAATAAAATAAGTTTATTTGTATATATATTAATACCTTTTAAACTCTCTTAAATACGTTCATTTTTATGTTATATAAAAAAAATATGAAAATTATTATGAAGAATCGTTTATCGTTAGTATAAGAAATACAATAATAATAATAAAAAATAAATAAATAAAACTAATTTTCTGCAAGATTTATTATAATAGTTGATTTAATTTATTAAGTTGCTAATTAACATAAAATTATAGTCGAGGCGGCAGCGCCAGTCGTATAATGTCTGTTCGCATTGCATAAACCAATCAGAATGCTTAATCTATTAAACACGTGACGACTCGTAAATTATGCGAACGAAATAATTGAAATAGTTGAAATATTTAATGGTAACTTTATGAATCCAAAATAAAAAAATGTTATGCATATCAAAGAAATCATTCCACAATAGAACCTTTTTTGGTAATTTACCACCTACTTTTGTAGTATTTTTTGAAGAAGTTCCATTAGGTGATAATCCATTCCTTTCAATCTTTCTAATTCCTTATCAACTTTCATATATATATATAAGATAAACAAATGTATTCTTTTATTCCTATATTATTAACGATCGCTTAATATTTCTATTAGGGATTTTATAATTCACCGTTCGAAACAAATTTATTCATGATCGCATTATTATTAATACATGATTGAATGATGAAGTTTGTCATTATGATGTAATTTGCCATTCTTGCTGATCATTTAGACCCGGCTCTGTATCTGGTATGAACGATACAATAAAAAAATATTATTTGAGTTTATCAATTATTTTTTTTATTCTTTTTATGTTTAAAAGTGAAATATTTTTTTATTATTTATTAAACAATCAGTACAATATGAAAAGAAAATGATTTCTCCTATGTATTAATTAATAACGTATTAAGTCTAGAAATTGTTGTGGTAGATCTCATGGTGGGTAATATTGTGAGCATATTGTTAGATTAAGAAATTTAGAAATATGGAATTTATGAAAAAAAAAGTTTAAAAGTACATCTTTTATTTTAACACTATATTTTTATACAGAATTTACACAGTTTTTTAGATTCCAAGGATCACACGATAATTAATAGTTCATGTTACACGAATTTATTATAAGCGATCATACTCAATTTTCATACTAATCATTGTCGTTATAAAAAAAGTTTATTAATATTGTTGTATGTACTTATAAAAACTCTTGCAATCACTTTAGAAAAAATTAAAGACATGTCATCAGAAGTTATTGGAAGACTTATAACAGATTTTAATAATTTAAACGAAAAATGCGTTCATTTAGTAGAAGAAAATCAAAATCTTAAACAACAAAATCAAAATCTTCAACAAGAAAATCAAATTTTAAAAGAAAATCTTCAAGAGAAAGATAAACAACTTGAAAAATTTCAAGAAAGAAATAAACAATATGAAAAACTTGAACAACATGTCAAAAATTTAGAAAAACAAAAAAGTGACGAACTTCAACAACTCCAACAACTTGAAATAATCTCTCAAAATTTACAAAATAATCTGGGAATACTTGGTTCAGATAAAGCTAAAAAAAATGACATTAAAATTACTGAAAAAAAAATGTTTTTAACTAATAAATATGATGAACGAAAAAAAGAAATTATGAATAAACCACCAATAATTAATCTCGAAATTTTTTCTGGATCATTAAGTTCTTTTAATGAAAGTACGTCGTAACAGTAAACTTTAAAATTATCAATTCGATTAAATATGAAACTAAAATGATTTGTGCATTTTTAAGGTATAGATATAGATACAGAAAAATCCAAGCTTTATTCCGATATTAAACTCGTTGTTGGGTTGGACTTTGGAACAACTTCCTCTGCATTCTTCATTAACATTGTTACTAAAGAATCTTCTGGTTGGTTGTCACGGCAAAAAGATACAATTCTTGTGTATAATTACGACTACAGTGAAGTGGTAGCTTGCGGATATATTAATAAATGTCCCAGATTCAATATTGTTGAATTATTTAAATTACACTTGGGCAGCTTGCCAGATAATTTAAAACCAAAACTTCCAATCGAATATAAAAGAGCCATTGCCGATTATCTTAAAGAGATTAGAAAGGTATGGATTAAATTCCAAGTAACAAACTATATTATTATTTTAAATTATTTACTTGCTTGAATGAAATTTTTAAGGATATTAAAAGTGAAGTTGCAAGACGCATGCCAGAAGCTAATTACTTCGAAGATGTATTATTAGTTTTTACTGTTCCTGCAGAATATTCAGAAGAAGACAGATATTATGAGGGAATGTATATACAATGCAAAACTCATTAAAAGTAAATCTTCAGAAAAGTTACAATTCATTACAGAATGTAAGTTTTAGAAAAAAAAATTTTAATAATCGTCAAATTCATTTTTTTTTTTTTTTAATTATTTTGTTTCTTATTTACAGCTGAAGCTGCAGCAATTTATTGCATGGAAAATGAATTACCGAATTATAACTTGTTATCCATAGGAAGTAAGATTGTAATTATTTATTTGAATATTTTTTAAAGAATTATTCTATTAATTTTCATATAATTTTTTAGGGACGTTTATTATTATTGACTGTGGTGGTAGTACTATAGATATAACTACTCATAAGATAGTAGGAAATAATCCATTACAATTAAGTGAGGTTACCGAACTCATTAGAGATTTTTGTGGAAGTACATTTATTGATGATGAATTTATTAAGTTATTAAATGAAAAATTTGAGACACGTGCCATAGATCTATTAAAGAAAAGTCATTATAATAAATTTCGATACATTGTTTTTGAATTCTGTCAGCGCGTAAAGAAATCTTTTGCAGGAGATGATAATACAAAATTTAGTTATACATTAGATGTTGAAGAAAAAATCCCAGATTTATTGCAATATGTCAGTGAAGAAACAAAAAAAATCATGGAAGCAAATAACTGGTTGATCGACATTGAATATAATGACATAAAAAAATTGTTCGATCCTATTATAGATAGAATTATTCGTTTAATACACATACAACTTTTAAATAACAAAGAAACTTGCTCAGCAATGTTTTTAGTTGGAGGATTCAGTGGAAATAAATATTTACGAAGAAGAATTGAACAAGAATTTCATCATGCTGTGAAAATTATTTCACCTTTAGATGCAATTTCACGTGGAGCGGCGGATTATGGACTTTTACTTTTAAATCCAAATTTAAATAAATTAGGAAATAACGATATTTCTTCAAGTATTCTCAAATACACTTATGGCATTCAATTTACCTCAGATTGGAAAGATGATGACCCTCCTAATAGAAAGACTTCTGATAGAAAAATTTCTAAATTTATTTCTTTGGTCAAACGAGGCACTGAGGTTACATCAGATCAGGACTTTACTTTTAATTTTAAGCCCGAATCGGGTCAAACACACGCAAAATTTGAAGTTTACTACACAAATGAAAAATCTGCAACATACATTGATGAACCGGGAATGAAACTACTTGGAGTATTAAATGTTGATCTTCCAGGTAAACTTTAAATATCATACTTCTTTTAATTGAAATGGTTAACTATTAATAATATAATTTAATTATTATAATTAGATGCACATCTTGACAATAGAAGCATTAACTTTGGATTAACTTTTGATCCGAATAAAATCACTGCATTTACAAGGAATGAACTCAATGGACAAAAATTTGTAACTAAATTTTGTTATCAATAAACCATAAATGAATGAAGTCAAAAGGATTTTAAAATATAATTTTATATTCAAATAAAATGTAATTTAAAGTCTCTAATTCCTATTATAAGTATTAATGATTAAATGAAAACTTGGTAAATTTCCTTTATATAAAAATACTTTATATTACTCTCTTAATTATTGGGTAATTATTTATTATTGATGACTATTATAATCAGCGTACATGTAAAAGATTATACACAGGCGATCACGATAAATCGGATCTTCGATAAACCGGATTGTACTGTATTATTTCGGATTTTTCTCCCAGAACCAAATCTGTCATATTACAGCTGTTTTCATAAGACCTGGGACAAAATAAATTTTTGAACCCGACCGCCGACCCACCGATCCGGTTCAGTTATTTGTTTTGCAAATCAAACTATCAAATCAGGATACGTGCCCAGCTAAAATATCGGATCGGCGGATCGGCGGATCGGGTTCAAAAATTTAGTTTGTCCCAGGTCTTATGAAAACAGCTGTAAAACAATCGCGATATACCGATATTTCATAAGTCAGATTTGATTCTATATCAGTTATATCAAAAAAAATCTTGATATATCGAATTTTTCCAAATTTGGTGTTAATGTATCCTTTTTATTTTAGCATACCTTTATATTATTGTAATTTAAAAATAAATGCTTAATTCCGGTTGAAATGGTTAATTTTGATTAGAATTAAAATTAATCATTTTATACCGAAATTCTTTACAAATATTGCATACAATTTTACCATTTTTTTTAAATATTTTAATCAAAGTTTGGGAATAGCTTTATTTTCCTGTATATCTTGATATGCTGGATCCTAACATAATTTTTATATAAAATCCGGTATAAGAAGATTTTTTGATATATCGGATATCTTTCGCTCGTTTTCGAATTTTAAAATTTTGAACGAAAAATCACGTGATATCCTAATATTTCGGATTTTTCGTATAATTTTATATAAATCCGGTTTAGTGAGATTTTTTCGATATATCGGATGTCTTGATATATCGGATATTTTTCTGGAACCAACAGATCCGATTTATCGAGATTGCCTGTGTAAAACGAATAAAAATAAACTTCATCAATATAATAATCCAAATAATGGTACTAAAAAAATGAAAAATATGTAATCATAAATTTAATAATTTTACGATACACAATTACAAGAAAATTCTTATAAAAATAAAATAAAAAAAATATACGCTTTATTGTCGTTCAGAATTTAACTGAACACAATTTGTTATTGGTGTTCACGCCGGAGTATTACAAATATTGCGTATTCGACATTATATTGCTACAACACTAATTTATCCAATTATCATACCGGTAGTCAGTGATTTTAAAGTGACATTCATTTATTATTATCCGAAGCGCGGCGTGGGACCGTTTATTTCTAAGCATTTTAAGATCTGTCCAATAGATTTGTACATGTCACGTGATATAAATAAATTGATTATGCGAACAGTTTGCGTTCCCTCGTTCGGGATTTTGAATTGATAATTATTGGCTGATGAAATTGTGTGACCTGATCAACGATCCGAACTTTCCGAACAACAAAATTGTGGTATCATTTTGATCACTTTTTTTTTTAACGTGTCTGGTGTCTAGTGAAGTTTTGATACGCGCCCTCAAAAAGTTTAATATACCTTTATGGTATTGCTTATTTGCCATTTTAAAAAAGAAAAATATTTTATTATACGAAAAATAAGGTGACCAAGGTTAACCGTTCAATAAGCCCATGTAAGTACTCAATTTAGATTTTGATCACATGATAGGATTGGTTAATGGACGATCATAATTGAACAGGCCTAATATATACTGTCCGTGCTGTTTTCGATTGAGGCCATTGACAGGCTCAGACTGTGCCACGTAAGTGACACTTTTAAGCTGACGACAATTCCAGTCTCTGCTTTTTGTGCTAAAAACCTTATATAAGGTACATTAGCAATCACGCGTCAACCTTTTGAGAACGTGATAAGGTTTTTAACATAAAAAAAAAAAAAAGTGTTCTATGATTTTCATACATTACACGTTTTTTGAAATTTTTTTTGTCACTGGCTTATTTGATCGACATCAATTTAAACCATTCAATAATATCATGTACCAATCGACCAATTGTGCACGACATTTTAAAAAATGGTTGTCAAATTCTAAAAATGGTTAATATTACGCTTGAAACACTAAGAGAAATATGAGAAATAAGCTCTAGATGATAAGAATTATTGTTAAGAATTTAAGATTAACAATAATCGAATAATTATTATAAATTAAGTCTAACCATTTTTAAAAATGTTCAAACAACAATCAAAATTAATCGAACAATCATCGTTGTCAAGCCAGTTATCATTGTTGCTTCTGAAGTAACATTAATCCAATAAATCAATGCTTGATAATGTTAAACACTGATACTAATCCAAATAGGAAGATGGTTCCACAACTTTAAATCTTCATTGTAGCGCTAACGTTTATAAAATAAATCGACTACACTTTTAATTTAAATTTTTCAAGGATTACTTTTTGAAAGAATCTTGTAAAATTTAAAATTTTAGGTATTCTCGAATATCTAGTTAATAAAATTTATTCAATTTTGTTGAACTTATTATAAATTATTTCTGATGACTACTAATACTGTATTTATTTTTTAATATTAATTTTTCATCGTTATTATCTCGAAATAATATTATTATTTAGTTATTATTTATTTGTCCATTTTTTTAATGAAATGATTGAGAAAAACTCTTACTGCTGGAATAACTCGTCCGATGGAAATTACATTTTCATTTTTATTGCACGCTATCTCAAATAAATATTGTATTAACAAGAAATATTATGATTTTCACTTTTACATAGCGTCAGAATATCAATTAACAAAAAGGTTTATTGAATATATCGAATATATTATTATAATATATAATAATTGTTTTTGAATTTCGTTTGTTTTAGTTTAATTTAATATATTACAAATAAAGATATTATCGTTATCATGCAGAGACGTGTTTCGACTGTTTCGTGGTAAAAAAATATTTAGTTTCAAATTATGCACGAATAAAATATTATTCTAACCAAGAATATTAATTTGTGCGGTCAATTTACTTATTGGGATATGGCTGATGGTAACGCATGAATATTGTTACTATATAAGTAACAATCGATTTATACCAATCTTTTACCCGACCCGATTTGGCCAGAATAATGGTTTAAAATTTGAAACATTAAGGGAGAATATCAAAACAAACACAATATGATGCACAGTAAAGGAAATAATAATACATAATGATAAAACAATGTAAATTATGTAAAATTCTAATTTTTTACGATGATAATAGATATTTTGAACACCTAAAAATTTGTTTGTTCGATTTATTATAAATACACTTCGGACTTCGTCTTGTAAAATCTTATCAAAAAGAAAAAAAAGTTCAAAGAACAAAAGAACGAAAAAAAAAATCAACTAATCAAATTTCAAATTAATCAAAAAAATATTAAATTCTCAAAATTTCTTTCTCAAGTAAATCTAATCAAAAATGAATCCAACTACTATTACCTCTAAACCAATTGTTATTGTTACTTCCGAAGTAACAGAAAAACCCGGTAATCCTACAAACTCATGTTCTATAATGTAAACGGAAAATTCTTTTTGAGGACGACTTCGATTATTAATTACATGTCAAATGGAGATCAATTTTAACCGAAAATTATACCTAATGATGTAGTTAATATTCATTACAAAATAGCCTGGTGCTATTATTTTTAAAATTTATTAGTTCATAATAACTTATAAAAAAGAATCTTTGTAATTTAAAATTTTATTTGTAATTTTGAAAAGCCACTTAATTTTTTATATTTGTGTATATTTTTATTTACTCGTTATTAAAAATAATAAAGTGAAATTTTTTTGATTTTATTTAATTTACTAATTATAAATTATCATTATCCTATTAAATATTCTTCTCTGCGCTAAGCTCTATCTTTAATACTAAACGAGTAAACGGAGCCCTATATTTACGATCAATAAACGAATAAAATTCCAGTTTGAGATCAGCACCTATAATTAACAAACATTCATAAGTGTCTGCAGCCACCAGTATACATACTGTATGTATGTCATCGTTGAAAATCTACCAAACCTATACAACTGGAGTGGTAAACTTTACAACGATTCCTGACCATAACAGTTTTACCATCCGGAAGATTTCAGCTGTAACCTTGGATACACCAAGCATGTATCATGCGAGGCGTGAACCCTGCAGTGGCTGCAGTCTACAGTGCGCACTTATTCATACGTCCATCCGGCAAACTATAATATACGTACCATTTAATGTGTCCGGCCTCATAGACGATTTCTTATATGTCGTGACATTTAGGTGAAGTTGGGTGAAGTTCGTTCGTAAAATTATTTGGATTTTAATTTTTTTGTAAAAAATTATAAAAATTAAAAATTAAAAATTAATCATAAATGATAAATCATAAAAATAATTATCGTTTTTACTACATGTGTGAAAGTATGTATAATTTTGTATGATTATTAAAATTTTGTAGTTACTCATTATGGTTATACTGTATTAATAAATATTAAATTATTAATAACATTTCTATTAATTTTTAAAAATAAAGTTTAAAATAGCCATACACTGTATTGTACACTTAAAATTTTAAATTTTTCAATGAATTCCCGTTAAAAAAAATAATAAATTTTTTTTTTTTTTTTTTTTTCCTCATATTCATGCACGAATATCTGATATTGTGTTCATGATTATTTATGAAATAACTTTTTATATTAATCAAGAATTTCAAGAATTTATTTGGCGTAAACTTTTCCTTTTTTTGATAATACCAGCCAGAATTACACAAAATTGTTAAGGGCTGAGAGGCTGAAAAGATTTGTCGATCGTTGCCTGCATGACTATCATTTACTATCATTATTTCTACTTTAAGTTAAACTGATAAAAAAAAATGATAAACATTTAATCTTTTTTTTATTTTTATATCCTATGATACAGTATCTATGAAATTACCATTCTTCATAAGAAAAGTATGAAAAGCTAAAAATATATTTCGTATAATATCTCTGATAATATGAATTAATTAATTTTTTTTTTTTGTTTTTCATTTCCACCAAAAAGGATTTAAAGGATTTTTGGTGAAAAATGACCTATTAATAAATATATTATTTTATTATATCATAATAGCTATGAATTTTCCTTTTACGTTCCTTTTTAATACAATTTCAATCAAATCTTAGATAAAAAAAGTTGATTGAATAATAACTATGAGATTTCTATTTGAAGGAATTATTCACTCCAAAAAATTAAAATATACGAACTTTTTTAAGAATCTTTTTTGATTTTCAAAAAATTATATAAACACTCGTTTTTTCCCTTCAAAAATTTCTTCAGTTCGATCTGAAATAATTAAAAAGATCGAGATCAAAAAATAAAAGGATCTAATTTAATATAAAAAAAAAATGAAATTCACAACTCTTGTTTGTTTAACGGCTTTGGGAGTTTCGGCTCTTAATGGTAAATAATAATAATAATAGAAAACTTGAATATTAAATTATTATGTAAATAAATAAAATTAATTTTACTAAATTTTTTTTTTTTTCAAAAAAATTATTAGTTAATGCTGCTCCCACTCCTATTTCTGATGTTGAATTGAATAATAAACGTGACGCACCTTCTACATATTATTATGATGATGATAAGAAGGATAAGTACGATGACGAATACGGATACGATGACAAAAAAGATGACAAAAAGAAGGATGACAAAAAAGAAAAATATTACAGACGTAGCGCAGTAGCCAATGAAAAAGATTACAAGGATGAGAAGGACAGCTACGATTCCTACCCCGACAGCTACGATGGAAAGGATAAGTACGATGACGAATACGGATACGATGACAAAAAAGATGACAAAAAGAAGGATGACAAAAAAGAAAAATATTACAGACGTAGCGCAGTAGCCAATGAAAAAGATTACAAGGATGAGAAGGACAGCTACGATTCCTACCCCGACAGCTACGATGGAAAGGATAAGTACGATGACGAATACGGATACGATGACAAAAAAGATGACAAAAAGAAGGATGACAAAAAAGAAAAATATTACAGACGTAGCGCAGTAGCCAATGAAAAAGATTACAAGGATGAGAAAGACAGCTACGATTCCTACCCCGACAGCTACGATGGAAAGGATAAGTACGATGACGAATACGGATATGATGACAAAAAAGATGACAAAAAGGACAAAAAAGAAAAATATTACAGACGTAGTGCAGTAGCTGATGAAAAAGATTACAAGGATGAGAAGGACAGCTACGATTCCTACCCCGACAGCTACGATGGAAAGGATAAGTACGACGACGAATACGGATACGATGACAAAAAAGATGACAAAAAGGACAAATATTAAAATTTTTTGATAGTAATCTAATAAGAGAACCTCACATAGAGAGAAAAATAAATAGTTATTCTCATTAATAATATTAATAGTTTTGATCTTTAACCATTATAGAACTATCAATTTTCTTTTCTTCTTAAAATGTATCTATATTTACCATTTTTTTATTTTGTATTATAATCATGTCCAAAGCGCTATAATTTGTAATTAAATAAATAAATTATTGTACTTATTAATTGACTATACTTATTTTGGTTATGTTGAATACTTTATATTTATACTTGTAATATACTTATTATTATTAATTCAAAATCATTACGACTTCTCTTTCATTTTCTAAACAATGTTACTAATACAACTTTTGTTCATATGAACAATTTCAGTCTATCTTTCATGAACTGGCTGCTCTTCTTTCGAAAGATATATTATCGAACTTTGTATCTAACATTTTTTAGACGCGTAATATTCTCGAACTTTCCCGTGTAATAATGATAACAAAAAAGACCACTTTGATGATCCAAGGGACATGATTCCCATATGATTGGCGATCAAGATTTTTATTATGTCTTGTAGCGAATCCGTTGATCTCTGATTTTCCGTGATGCCATCATAATTCCCCAAAGATTTATTCCAAATTCGATTCTTGGGCCGCTGGAAATCATATAAAAAGAAGGTGAGGCAATTAGTAAATCCTTTTATCTGCCTTGTGCAAATTATAGGCAAATAATAAAGCGAAACATTCAAACTTACTTTTATTCTCATCATTAATATCGGCAATCAATCAAACGAGTATATTCTGAAAAGTATTAACAAGATATGATGATTTATTTCTCGGCTTGATTCTAGAAGAACATCATCACGATGTTAATCATTTTTTCCGGCTTTATAGATGTACAAAGCCAAATCGGATTTATTATTACCATTCTTGATCTTTTGATCGCTGTGAAAATCGTGATCGTTAACATGTGACTCATCGGCGCAGTGATTTCACTCAACATCTGGCGTAGTATTGTAAGCCTAGTACCCGTGAAAAATCACGTTGCCACCACTAGCTACACTAAATGATTCTTTACTAATAATATCAAAATACAATAAAATAAATATTATCCCGAGTTCTCGCTTGGTTAAACAAAATAAATAATATAACGAAATAAATATTAAATAATAAAGTTTTAGTAACAAAAAATAATCTTCAATATTCAACTATTAATCCTAAAATCAAACTTCGATAGTCTCCCTTAAAGAAATAATATCATTCTTCTTAATCCATCATTAGAATAATATCGGAACAATAAAATCCTTGATAAAATAATTCTAATTTTCCAAATTACTAATATTTATCGATAATTTCCCCATATGCTTCTTGAATTACTACGCCCACTTTTAATTCCAAAATTATAACTTTTAAGTTACTCGATCCAAACGATGTCGTCTTTACTCAATTTAGATATTTCGGGCTGAGTTAATTTCTTTTTCAATATTTTTAATAAATTCTTACAATCTTAAATTCTCAATTGTCATTGTCACAATGTACATCATTCCGATCTCCATTATATTATATGATCTATATGTCCTTTGTCACAAATCACAATCACTTTCCTTTGTGAATTGTGATATAATGCTGATCCTAATTGTTACGTTTAATAATGTGATAACCGATTAAGTATGATGTATATTTTGACCGTTATATATATGGCAAGCCGAGTTGGACAAAATTATCAGACATTGCGCGATAAATATCAAGCATGGCTAGACAAAATGTCACTCCGTGACTGACATTTTACCTGTTTATGCTTGATTTTCATCTGTCCCGTGCTTGATATTTATCTGTATGTGCTTGATATTTTTATCTGTTCATGCTTGATGTTTATCTATCACGTGCTTGATATTTTTATCTGTTCATGCTTGATGTTTATCTGTACATGCTTGATGTTGTCTGTACGTGCTTGATGTTTTATCTGTACGTGTTTGATGTTTATCTGTACGTGCTTGATATTTATCTGTACGTGCTTGATGGTTTTATCTGTACGTGCTTGATGGTTTTATCCGACCATGCTTGACATTTTTATCCTTCCATGCTTTATGTTTTTATCCATCTGTGCTTGATATTTTTGTCCGTCTGTGCTTGATGTTTTTGTCCAACTGTGTTTGATTTAATCCAACTATGCTTGATAATTTTATCTTTGTCAAAAATTAGTTTCTTTGTCAGCACAGGGTTGATATATTGTTGGTCACATGTTTTAAGTTTAGCGTAGTTTTAAAAAA